GATGCTCGCAGCTCGCCTCTCCGGCCCTCCCCACGCCCGAGGCGGCGAGGCCACAGCATGTGAAGGTTAGAGCCGGGCGTCGCGAGGAGCCGCCGGGAAAGATGGGGGATGCTGCGGACCCCAAGGAGGTGAGAAAGACCTTCATCGTACCAGCCATCAAGCCCTTCGACCACTATGATTTCTCCAGGGCCAAAATCGCCTGCAACCTGGCCTGGCTGGTGGCCAAAGCCTTTGGGACAGGTAAGTGTGGGTCTTCCCTTCCCTCATCCTCCCGGTGGTGTCCCTGTCCAGGTTTTTGCTTTCTGATTCTCGAATCCCCCTCCATGAGTGTCTTCCCGTTCTGGTTCAGGGAAACGATAGGAGACTAGGACGTGGAGGAAGAAAGAAGAAATAAAAGAAAGCAGGTTCGGGCATCAGGGAAGGCTCCCCTCCCCCGCGCATGGTCAGGGTGATTTCGACCAGCTACCTTTTATTGAAAGGCAAAAGGGTTTTTTTATTTGGTGAGGAATTTGTCTTGTTTTTACAGAGTGGTTTTAATTTGTGGTGTTTTCCTCACTTTCTGCATACAGTCCCCCCTTCAGTCATAATTGTGATTACACTGCCGAGAAATCTGAGTTGGTTTCTTTATTGTCGTTGAAGGTGGACAGCACACAGTACTGTGTCGATTTTGACATTTGTAATGATAGCTGCTATTCAGAATCCGTCAAAATGGAAAGGGGCCTGTGCTGAAGTGCAGTATTAATTTTTGTTGTTATTCTTTACGACTGTATCAGCCCTCGGTTCTCATTTCAGGTTGTTATAAACCGTTTTTGAAAACCAGTGTGTAGTTTGCTGGGCTCTACGGGTGCTATTTTCAATTCGTATTATCAGTGAGCTGTATTCTTCTCTCCAGATGTATTTTGACTTCATAAGTGAAGATCATCTACAAAAACATCTTTCTTTGGGGAATTTTAGCACCATTTTTCGAGGGCATGTGCTGGTGACACAGAAGTTCTGTTAGACAGTGGTAATTAAACTCCATGACCCAGTCTTTGTGGAATAACAGGAAAAGGGCCTCTTGTTGTAATTCCTTAGCTGTTGCTTTAGGAGCCCATGTTGTGGAATGTTTAAAAAATTAAGAGAGCTGGCTTTTCATTGGAGATGTAATTTAGTCAGATAACTTTCAAGAGTAATTTTGCAAGATTTCTTTTCGGTAGCTGGTAAGCATTGGATGCATAAAATATTTATTGAAAAGTTACTCAGGGTTTACAAACTTTTCTTCGGATGCTAAACACAGGTTTTTGTCTTGGGTAGGGATGTTAAAAATGTGTGAGTAAATGGTTTAATTCAGACAACTCTTTAAACATGTACACAGCTGAATATTTTCGGGACTTGTGTGACTCGGTGTTTGGAAAATTATTTGAATTAGTTTTGGGAGAAACTTTACTTGGATGTAATTTTATGTTTATGACAGTTTTAACTTTATTCGAATTGTCATACTTTGATATTGAACTAGTATTGGCAATAAATATAATCCCTTTGAAACAATTTAAATTTTAAAAATTTCTTTGGAATTAAACATGTAGATTATCACAAAGTGTTATTGTTTTTTTTTTAATTTCCCACTAAGAAATACATGTATTTTTCGTTTTAATTTAAGCAGCATACTAAATACAATACCCATTTGGAGGGTAAATAAAGGCTATTTCCATAGAAAAAACGGAAATTGATATAGTAACCTTGTGGAAAAGCAGTATGTACAAAATGGAAGGCAGAGAATGAGAGAAACATCATCTTTCCACTTGAAACAGAGGATGTCTATGGTACAGATGTCAAAATTTTGCTGTGTGTTCACAAAGGCCTCCAACTGGAAAATGACCTACTTTCTGGATATGTGTCAGGCTAGATTCTGGACCACTTGATACACACATTGAACACACTTGAGAAGTAAAGAAGCAGAAGAAACAGTGCCAGTGGAGTCTGACTTCTCAGGCTCTCTAGTAGATGCTTTAAGTTGTGCATTTGAGACTCACAGCTCAGTGATGTGGATCCGCGTGTACGCTATTTAAATAGAAGGAGGGTTGCAGTTAAACAGCTCTGCTACTGTGACACTGTTAATAAATGGTAGAGATGGTTTTCATTTAAGGTCTGCCTGCAAAGATAAGGTATTAGTGAAGGTAGGCTGTGCCTGTTATATACTCAGAACTCTAAATACATAGTTCATTTAGTCCTTCCGCAACCCTGTAGATATTATTCTTGTTTTACAGATGAAGGAACAGGCTCAGATTAATTTGCACATGATTAAACATCTGGCACATGATGTATACTACATGCTACTTCAGGTCTTAATGACTTTTTGCTTTTTACTCTACACCATTCTTCAGAGTAATCTTTAATCTGGAAATGTGAAAAATGTGCACATGTCACATGTTAAAGTTAAATTATTTTCTTTAAAAGTTGGACAGTTTTAACTCACTTGAAGGTGTTTTAGATGAATATAGTACACACTTAGTTGCATTTGTCTTGGCAGCAGTTGGAATAGATTAAAAGGTCTTATTCAAATTGGAATAAAACCGAGTATAGGAGAGCTTAAGAAAGTGACTTAATAACCAGAAATTAATATATTATTAAGAATGAATGAATGGGCTGGGGATTTAGCTTACTGATGCCGCTGCCTTGCAAGCACAAGGTACAGAGTTTGATCCCAGGTACCAAAAGAAGAATGTAACTGGACATGGTGCCACATGCCTGTAATATCCCAGCTACTTAGGAGACTAGAGCAGAAAGATCTCAAGTTCAAGTCTAGTCTGGGCAACTGGGGGAGACCCTGTCTCAGAATTAAAAAATAAAAAAAAAAGGATGCTATGCTTGCACGCTTCATTTTTTTAATCAGTGATATTTTAATATATAAATTTATATAGAGTATGTAGAAAAGAGTTGTTTTTAATTTTTATATACTCATTTACTTTATTTATACAAAAAAGGTTAGTAGTATATTTCAAAGTTAACACCCAGCTATAAGCATTTATTTAAAAAGTTTTCAAGTATGATTTTTTTTCTTTTTTTGCTACTGAGGATTGAACTCAGGTCCTTGCGTTTGCGAGGCAGGCCACCGAACCACTGAGCTAAATCCCCAGCCCTCAAGTATGATTTATTAAAACCTCTCTTGGGCTGGGGATTTGGCTCAGTGGTTCTGCTACCTGCCTCACAAGCGCAAGGTCCTGAGTTCAATCCCCAGTACCAAAAAAAAAAAGTCTCTTAACAATAACATGCAGGGGCTTTGGTTGTTTGGTGAGCAACCTACATTTGATATATAAAAGGTAGTCTTAAAACCATATGTTGAAGAAGTCATTTAAGAATGAAGTCATTGAATGTAAAGAATGAAATAAGTATGATAAATAAGGCATTAGCATTGTTAACACCTAGAAAACAGATGATGGCGTATTTATTTGATGTGAAGTCTTATTATTTCAATAGCTTTGTGTGCCCTAAAAATATCTAAATAGCCCAAGTCTTAGTTATTTTGTGGGAAAATGCAACTACAGTTTTGATTAATGAAAATGTCTGTTAAATGAATTTGTAACAATAAGCAGATACTCTAGCTACTTCAAGTAAATTGCAAAAGAACTTAATCCTTGTAAGCAATAACCTGACTGAATTTGCTTTAAGTGCTCTGCCCCCTTAAATACCTTGGGGAAATGGTAGGTATACTACTTCTTGCAGAACTCCTGAAATTCTTAACGTGGAATTTGGGGCCTGCTTTCTGTTTATCTTTTCAATTGTATCAATTATCATTCCCCTTTCTATACCATTTATTTTTGTGATATAAAATTATCTCCTATTATAAATACACCTTGTTACATTTCTTTGTATATCCCAACTGATCTCGTCGAAAAGCTGCATAAGCTGTGGTTCTGATGGGTATGTGAAGATTGTGAGAGCAGTGGGTAGCATTGGGATATTGGAGGAATCTGGACAAGAGGTAATGATTAGGCTTGCAGTGAGGTGAAAACCACAATAAAGCTGGTAATATTTATTGAGCAGTTATTAGTGTGTGTCGAGCTCTTTATACGTAGTATCTCATTTTAATCCTCATGACAGCCTTATGAAGTAGAAACTTAATCATTCTGCCCACGAGGAAAATGAGGCTCCCGGGTTTAGGAAATTATCCAAAGCCAGTCCACTTTGGGAGCTGAGATCTGAACCAGGGAAATTTCACTTCAGTCTGTGCTCTTAACCACTATACTATATGGATAGAAGTCAAAGGAATAGAAAAGAAGCGAATGATTGAAGAAGTGTTGTGGACATTTAATATTAGTATTTTTAAAGGACCAAATTTAGGGTGCATGAAGTGGTTTAAATGTAAAGAGAAAATAAGAAGATAAGGTCACCTGAGGTTTTAGGGAGGATGAGGTTACTGAAGACTGAGATTTTAGTGAGTGGGAGGATGAATCGTGATGCCATTGACAGAAATAGAGAATGCAGCAAGTTGGAACAGGAGTGCAGCATTTTGAAAACAAACTTGGTGTTTGGCTACATATTTTGTGTGGTAAATCAAATGAGGTAGGCAACTCTAAGTGTAGGTCTGCAGTTTGAGAAGTTGAGGCTAGAAATAATAATTTGCTACTCTGTATGACTGTGATTGAAATTGGAAGTACATGTCATTGTAGGAGAGAAGAAATTTGAGATTTAGAATAGAATATTTAGAATGGGGGCAGAAGCTGAAGAAAAGGAGAGGTAGAATTGGATCACTCAGAGTTGGGAAGAGAACTAAGAAAGTGTAATAATCCTGAAGCCCTGGGAGGAAACAGTTTAAGGAGAGTGGTCTAAAAACAGTGTGGAGTGTTGTAGCATGTCTCATTTAAGAGTTTGTAATGCTTTAGTTGAGGAGATAATGGTAAATATAACTACAGCAGAGTTCAGGAAGTCCACGGTTAGAGCTGTGTGAAGGGAACAGTGACATCCAAAAGGAGATTGGTTAGGCAGGCCTGGTGTGAAGACGTCACTTGCAGCCTCTGTAGTCTGAAGAAAGTGGTGAGTACTGGAGCTTAGGTCCTGCAGAGGGTCAGGCCAAATAGAAAATATTGTAGATGGAAGAAGTTGAGTGTGGGTTGTGACACCCAGGTTGTGTTAGGGAAGCAGTATAGACCGGATAGATTGGAGGTTTATGTAATGAAGTAGTGGGAGGTCTGGCTTGAAAGGTAAATTGGGACATAATGGTGTGCAAGGCCAGGTTAGGGAATTTGGAATTTATTTAGTAG